TTTTTGGTTTTTAATTTTGAATTGTAGTCAATAAGTTGTCAATTTCAGTTTTTAATTTTGACTTATAGATATCAATTTTAATTGTTTAAATTTCTATAATTAAAATTGAAAACCAACAACCATGTCTCTATTTGGTATGGTGATGGTTTTTTATTTTTGATGTTTACAAAATTTTCAATTGCTATAAATTAAAATAAAAAATAAAAAATAAAAAACTAGCAATTTGTTTAAAACAAGTTTTTATGGTTTGAAAACTAAACTAAAAATTAAGGGTGAGAAATGATTTTACTGTTACATGTCGGTGACTACATTTAATATATTTGAATAACTTTTTGGCTTCTGGAAGAGTACTCTACAATTTCTTATGTTTTTGTTGGATTTGCTTCTAGGTCATTCCTAAATTAGAGAAACTGTCATTAGCTAGTGATGACATTACAATGATATCTGATGGCCAATTTCCAGGGGACCTCTTTTGCAATGTTAAAGTTCTTCGTCTTCTTACATGTAAAGGTCAATCACCTGTTTTTCCAATTCACTTCCTTCAATGTTTCCACAAGTTGGAAAAGCTTCATGTAATTTATTCTGATTTCAAGGAGTTATTCCCTTCTGAAGGAGACACTGATGGTCAGGAGAAATGTGTGGGAACAGTACAATTACATATTAGAGAGTTGAAGTTGCGATCACTTCATAATCTGAGGCATATATGTAACCAAGACTCTGGAGGAGCTGGCCTAATTGTTCAAAATCTTAAAATTCTGAAAGTGATTGGCTGTCCTGGCTTGATTAGCTTATCAGCATCTATGGCACCTTTCCACAGTCTCACCACTTTGGTTGTATTTAGTTGCCAAGGATTAAGAAACTTGGTTTCACTCTCAACAGCTCAAAGCCTGGTCCAACTAGAAACAATGAGCATAAGAGAATGCCACTCGCTGACTGAAATGGTTGGAAACGAGAGAGATGGTTTAGAAGATGAGATTGTTTTTATGAAATTAAAAGTTTTGAAACTCATAGAGTTAATAAAACTCACAAGCTTCTGTTCAAGACTTAATTTCACCCTCAAGTTCCCATCTTTAGAAC